CTTCGTTTGGGGGCTGTTCTTCGTTTTGGGGCTTGGGGTCCACCCTGACCCCAAGGTCAGCTTCGTTTGGGGGCTGTTCTTCGTTTTGGGGCTTGGGGTCCACCCTGACCCCAGGTTCGTCTTCGTTTGGGGGCTGTTCTTCATTTTGGGGCTTGGGGTCCACCCTGACCTCGGGATCATCTTCCTTTGGGGTTTCTTCTTTCTTTGGGGGCTCTTTTTCGTTTTGGGGTTCTTCTTCATTTTGGGGCTCTTCCTCATTTGGGGGCTCTTCTTCGTTTTGGGGTTCTTTCTCGTTTTGGGAGCTCTTCTTCGTTTTGGGGCTTGGGGTCCACCCTGACCCCGGGGTTATCTTCCTTTGGGGGCTCTTCTTCGTTTTGGGGGCTTGGGGTCCACCCTGACCTCAGGATCGTCTTCGTTTGGGGGCTCTTCTTCATTTTGGGGCTCTTCTTCGTTTTGAGGCTTGGGGGCCCCCCTGACCCCGGGATCATCTTTGTTTGGGGCTTCTTCCTTGTTTTGGGGCTCTTCTTCCTTTTGGGGTTCTTCATTTTGGGGCTCTTCTTCGTGTTGGGGCTCTTCTCCGTTTTGGGGCTTGGGGTCCACCCTGACCCCAGGATCGTCTTCGTTTGGGGGCTCTTCTTCGTTTTGGGGCTTGGGGCCCCCCTGACCCCGGGATCGTCTTTATTTGGGGCTTCTTCTTTGTTTTGGGGCTTGAGGTCCGCCCAGACCGCGGGATTGTCTTCGTTTTGGGGCTCTTCTTCATTTTGGGGCTTTTCTTCGTTTTGGGGCTTGGGGTCCACCCTGACCCCAGGATCATCTTCCTTTGGGGGTTCCTCCTCATTTGGGGGTTCTTCGTTTTTGGGCTCTTCTTCATTTGGGGGCTCTTCTTCGTTTTGGGGCTTTTCTCCGTTTTGGGGCTTGGGGTCCGCCCTGACCCTGGGATCGTCTTCCTTTGGGGGTTCTTCTTCATTTTGGGGTTCTTCTTCATTTTAGGGCTCTTCTTCGTGTTGGGGCTTGGGGTCCACCCTGACTGCGGGATCATCTTCGTTTGGGGGCTCTTCTTCATTTTGGGGCTTGGGGGCCCCCGACCCCGGGATCATCTTTGGGGCTTCTTCTTTGTTTTGAGGCTCTTTTTCGTTTTGGGGTTCTTCTTCATTTTGGGGCTCTTCCTCATTTTGGGGCTCTTCTTCGTGTTGGGGCTCTTCTCTGTTTTGGGGCTTGGGGTCCATCCTGACCCCAGGATCATCTTTGGGGCTCTTCTTTGTTTTGGGGCTTGGGGTCCACTCTGACCTCGGGATCTTCTTCCTTTGGGGTTTCTTCTTCATTTTGGGGTTCTTCGTTTTGGGGCTTGGGTTCCACCCTGACCTCGGGATCGTCTTCCTTTGGGGCTTCTTCTTCGTTTTGGGGCTCTTCTTCATTTTGGGGTTCTTCGTTTTGGGGCTTGGGTTCCACCCTGACCTCGGGATCGTCTTCCTTTGGGGCTTCTTCTTCATTTTGGGGCTCTTCTTCATTTTGGGGTTTGGGGTCCACCCTGACCCCGGGATCATCTTCATTTGGGGGCTCTTCTTCGTTTGGAGGCTTGGGGTCCACCCTGACCATGGGATCATCTTCGTTTGGGGGTTCCTCCATATTTGGGGGTTCTTCGTTTTGGGGCTCTTCTTCCTTTTGGGGCTCTTCTTCGTGTTGGGGCTTGGGGTCCCCGCGACCCCGGGATCGTCTTCGTTTTGGGGCTTGGGGTCCACCCTGACCGCGGGATTGTCTTCATGTTGGGGCTCCTCTTCGTTTTGGGACTTGGGATCCCCCAACCCTGGGATCATCTTCGTTCTGGGGCTCCTCTTTGTTTTGGGGCTCTTCTTTTTTGGGCTCTTCGTTTGGGGGCTTGGGGTCCACCCTGACCCCAGGCTCCTCTTCGTTTTGGGGCTCTTCCTCGTTTTGGGGTTCTTCCTTGTTTTGGGATTCTTCCTCGTTTTGGGGCTCCTCTTTGTTTTGGGGCTCTCCCTCATTTTGGGGTTCTTCTTTGTTTGGGGGCTCTTCGTTTTGGGGTTCTTCCTCATGTTGGGGTTTGGGGTCTACCCTGACCCCGGGCTCCTCTTCATTTTGGGGGCTCTTGTTTTGCAGCGCTTCTTTGTTTTGGGGGGTTCTTCCTCGTTTTGGGGCTCTTCTTTGTTTTGGGGTTCTTTGTTTTGGGGCTTTTTGTTTTGGGGTTCTTCGTTCTGGGGCTCTTCCTCATTTTGGGGCTCCTCTTCATTTGGGGGCCTCTTCCTTGTTTTGGGACTTGGGGTCTGCCCCGACCCCGGGCTCTTCCTCGTTTGGTGGTTCTTCTTCGTTTTGGGGTTCTTCCTCAATTTGGGGCTCTTCATTTTGGGGGGCTCTTCCTTGTTTTGGGGCTCTCCCTCGTTTTGGGGCTGTTCCTCGTTTTGGGGCTCTTCTTTGTTTTGGGGTTCTTTGTTTTGGGGCTTTTTGTTTTGGGGTTCTTCGTTCTGGGGCTCTTCCTTGTTTTGGGGCTCCTTTTCATTTGGGGGCCTCTTCCTCGTTTTAGGACTTGGGGTCTGCCCCGACCCCGGGCTCTTCCTCGATTTGGGGCTCTTCTTCATTTTGGGGGTTTTTCTTCGTTTTGGGGCTCCTCGTGCTGGGGACTTGGGGTCCGCCGCCCCCGGCCCCTCGCGCTGGGGCTGACCCGCCCGCCCCCCGCAGGGCCGGAACCTGCTGCCCGGGAACGCGAGGCTCAACTTCACGGTGCTCATCGGCGACACGCCCTGCAGCCTCACCGTGTCCGACACGCAGCTGCTCTGCGAGGCCCCCAACCTCACCGGCCAGCACAAGGTCACGGTGCGTCCCGGCCTCCGCCCCGGCCCCTCCCGCCCGGCCTCCGCCCCGGGCCTCCCCGTCCCTCCCGCCCGGCCTCTGCCCCGGGACTCCCCCGTCCCTGCCGCCCGGCCTCCGCCCCGGGCGTCCTCCCTCCATCCCTGCCACCTGGCCTCCGCCCCGGGCCTCCCCGGCCCTCCCGCCCGGCCTCCGCCCCGGGCCTCCCCGTCCCTCCCGCCCGGCCTCCTCCCCGGGACTCCTCGGTCCCTCCTGCCCAGCCTCCGTCCCTGCCGCCCAGCCTCCACCCGAGGACTCCTCCGTCCCTCCTGCCCGGCCTCTGTCCCTGCCGCCCGGCCTCCGCCCCGGGACTCCTCCCTCCATCCCTCCCGCCCGGCCTCCGCCCCGGGCCTCCCCGTCCCTCCCGCCCGGCCTCCGCCCCAGGACTCCTCGGTCCCTCCCGCCGGCCCAACCCCGGACACACAGGCCTGGTTTGGATTCGGGGACAGAGTCTCCCTCTGTCGCCCGGGCTAGAGTGAGTGCCGTGGCGTCAGCCTCGCTCAAGGCAGCCTCCAACTCCTGGCCTCCAGCGAGCCTCCTGCCTCGGCCTCCCTCCC